AGGGTTTAGGGGAGATTTTGGAGAGCCAAGGTTGTAGGCCACGGGTGTCGGAATTTGGGTTGTCTAGAGTAGGTGGGGTGCACCACGGGTTCCCCTTGCGTACTCCCCTCTATACTACCTTAGGATTTAGGGTTTAGGGTTTAGGCTTTAGGGTTTAGGGTTTAGGGTCCCCGAGGTTCCCCCCCCAGGTTCCCCCCGAGGTTCCCCCGGTAATTGAAGATTATGCGGGATAATGAAGCCTATCTAAGGTTACTCCATGGCGCCAAGCCTCGGGGGTAGTAGGGAAACCCCGTGAGTTATAGGGTTTCGGATTTCATGGCCTAGGGCTTCATAAGGCCGTCTTGGTTGACTGCTTTTCTGCTCCTTGTGCATCCTTGGTTTAGGGTTTAGGGTTTAGGGTGTTGGTGGATGGTGCCGCGTCTTGTCCATCCAGCTTGAGCAACATTGCCCTGCTGGTTTCAAAAATCTTCCGGAACCCCGAAACCCCAAACCCTGAAACCCTGGACCCTCACTAGGGTTTCTATATCCGCCTTGGGAATCACTTGCCATTCTTCGTTTACATAAAACCCGAAGGAATCTACTTGTTCAAAAATGTTCTAAGGGGAGTATAGGTAAACTTGAAGGTGCATGGTACTTATTAACCAATTAGTTATAGCTGTGCTTATTTATAAGCCCCTTGAATGCCCTAATATTGTTATAATTTGGGTTAGTAGTACAGTTATAACTGGTTACTAAGTACCATGAACCTCCAAGTAGGGTTGCCCTGGCAAGGGGCTTGGCAGGCCTTCATGCAGGGCTTTCTATTTCAGTCTGTCTGTCAAGGAGTCGTCCTGAAAGCTGGGCACAGAAAAGGGCTTAGTTATAGGGTTGAGCCTAGCCAGACAACCTAAACCCCAAACCCTAGGCCCTAAACCCACAATGTGTTGGGAGGCTTGGGAAAAATGCCAGCCAAGGAGTGCATGATGACGACCTTCCGGAGTACCTTGCGCATTGGTCGCCCGTCCTTCGAGTCTACACCCTAAACCCTTAACCCCTACTTGGAGGTTCATGGTACTTCGAACTCATTGTTTTACTGTTCTTATAACCCAATTATAACCCTAGTAGGGTACTTAAAGGGCTTATAAACGTGGGTTATAACTACACTGATCATGGGTTAATAAGTACCCTGAACCTCCAAGTAGACCCTGAGTGTGAACACCAAACCCCATATAGGGGCCTCAATGGTTAGAATAGCTTTTTTTTTTTTTTTGGGGGGGGGGGGGGTTCTTATAATATATTTTATCAGGACCATAAAGGATACTTATTAGTATTTATTCCGAACCCCATATTAGGTTCACGGTATATGGCTTTAGGGCTTGAGGCTTCAGGCTGTCGAGGGTACCGGGGCTCAGGCCCAAGGCCTTCAGACAGTATTCAAACCCTAAACCCTAAAGCCTAAAATCTCAGGATTTAGGGCTTTGGGTTCAACCCTAAACCCTAAAACCTAAAACGAGCTATTGCTTGTGCTATGTTGTGCTTGTGTCTGTGTTTGTTTTTGCAGAGCCCACCTCGGCGTGGAATTTTTTGCGGCTCCTCCTGGCTCTGTCAGCTGTAATTTAGAATTCACCGAATTCAACGGCTCAGGTCCGATACCTTAGGGTTTATTTTTCTAAGGGTTTAATTAGGGTTGAGGGTTTACAGGGCACATTTACTAGAATGGGCACTTCTGGTCGTTTGTTTTCGTTTTGGCTCTGTAAGGGGCATCACAGATCATAAGGGCATTTTATGGCTTAGGAAAGTTTAGGTTTAGGGCAGTTTAGGGTGTAGGATTTAGGGTTCAGGGTTCAGGGTGTAGGGTTTAGGGTTTAGGATTGCGATCCTGTAGTGAGCCGCCGTATGCAAGGTGAGCAGCAGAGCCTGTCACCGGCGTCACCAGCAGCTCCGCTCATGTGTTGAACCCTAAACCCTAAACCCTAAACCTTAAACCCTAAACCCTCAACCCTAAACCTTAAACCCTAAACCCCAAACCCCAAACCCTAAACCCTGACCTTCCGAAACCCGTTTGACTAAGGAATCTACCCTAGTCCGTACTACAGATCCTTGGTATTATGAGCTTGGGCATATTCCTTAATTAAGGGCGCCTTTGGAAGAGTGAGTTGCCCATATACCATCTGGGCATTAAGGATTTTGTATTAGGGTTTAGGGTTTAGGGTTTAGGGTTTAGGGTTGAGGGTTAACCCACAACCCTAAACAGGGGTGGATTTGTTTTCGGAGCAATCGACAGAAACCATCCCATGCACTTGACTGTCCCGGCTTGGCTTAGAGCCCTTATAGCAACACTCTCCCCTCCCCATACACACCACAGAGAGCCACCCGCATTTCAGGAAACCTTGTAAAACCCTAAAACCCTAAAACCCTAAACCTCTTAAACCCTCAAACCCTCAACCCTAAACCCTAAACCCTAAACCCTCCAAGGAAGAGGCGGCCACGGCAAATTCTTCGAACTTCGGCCGGGGTTGAAAACTGAGGGCTGTGGACTACGGGGATGAAGGTGCACTAAACTTAGGGTTTAGGGTTTAGGGTCTAGGGTATAGGGTTTAGGGTTTAGGGTGTAGGGTTTAGGGTTTAGGGTTTTTGGTTTAGGGTTTAGGGTTTGGGGTTTGGGGTTTAGGGTTTATGGTTTAGGGTTTAGGGTTTAGGGTCTAGGGTTTAGGGTTTAGGGTTTAAACCCTATTGACCCTATAAACCCTACAGACCCTCTGAACCCCTATAAACCCTATAAGCCCTATGAACCCTATGAACCCTATGAACCCTATGAACCCTTTAAGCCCTAAACCCAAACCTAGAGGGAATAGGGTTTAGGGTACCCAGATCTTCCAAAACCCTTCATTAGGGAATATACCCTAATTCATAATAAAGATCCTTAGCAGAAATTTGGGTATATTCCTTAGTTTATATACCCTACTTCATAGTAAGGACCCTTAGACCCTAAACCCTAAAACCCTAAAGGGTATTTTTCTTTATTTTTTTGGGTTTAGGGTTTAGGGTTTAGGGGGGTCCGTTTTTTTTTTGCAAAGGTGTGTCTCGGCCTGTCCCCTTGCAAAGGTGTGGCTTGGCTTGGCTTGGCTTGGCTGGGCGTGTCCTCTGACCTGGCTTGGCTTGGCTTGTCTGGCTTGGCTTGGCTTTGGTTGGCTTGGCTCGGCTTGGCTTGGCTTGGCTCGGCTGGGCTTGGCTTGGCTTGGCTCGGCTTGTCCTCTGGCTTGGCTTGGCTCGGCTTGGCTTGGCTTTGGTTGGCTTGGCTCCTTGGCTTGGCTTGGCTCGGGTGGGCTCGGCTTGGCTTGGCTTGGCCTGGCTGGCTTGGCTTGGCTCGGCGTGGCTTGGCTCGGCTTGGCCTGGCTTGGGTGCCGACTTCGTTTTGATTTCCCTGTTCTCCCCACTCGCAAAGATTCTTTTTACCGCGATGTAGCTGTAGCTGGTAGAAATACGTGGAGTGTATATATGTAGTATGCGCAAGCATTGAGTTTGCAAATGGCTGCGCCCCCCCCAACCCCCCCGCTTTTTTAAGCCGTGCAAGCTTGCGTCAAAGCATATGAGTCTTGTTGAAACCCAAAGAGAAGCGTCTCGGCTCTCAGCGTTTCATATAGCGGGCCCCCTCTAGCAGACCGTAGTGCCCCTTCGGCGATTTCTGTACTCGTCTCACCATTAGAAGCCATTCTGCCTGTTACTCAGATTCGCGTTGTGGCTCTGGAACTGGTTGCAGACTGCTTGCTGAATAGTCAAGACACTATTGACATTGACAGTGCCTTGGACCTCGCAGGGCAGCTGTGGAATCAGGATACTGCAGACGAACTTGTGCCAGCGATCCTTGAGGTTCTACCGAGAGAACAGGGACTTCAGCTGGTGGCCATCATTTCTGTCAGGTTCCCGTTGTTGTGTGTAGCACTTGAGCAACAACTTGCAAAGACTCTTATCAGCCTGATCTCAGACAAACCATGAATCTCGCTCTGCACTTGATATTCACAGTCATCCTTTGCCGCAGATGCATCCCCGCCTACACCAGTGCCATGAGGCGCACTGGTCGGCCAGATCCCACTGTGTGCAGTCAACGGCCCCTAGGGGAGCCAGCTCCAAAGCCAGCGCACGAAATAAGAGAGGACCCCAAGCCCCCACCCCCCCCCCAAACCAACAGAAGCTTCCATCTTTGCCCCCCTCATTGCAGCTCCCACCACCACCGCTCGCTAGTTCCTCTTCAAATGACAGAATCCATGGAGTGCCGAGGAGCGCGCAAGGGCTCCTGGACTGGAGCGAATCAGAGAGCTCCGCACATGAGACAAACATGCTCCCAGCGGACAGGACCGACAGTCCCACAATCGGCCCCAGCCCGGGGGAAGCCGATGGCCCAGGTCAATCCTCCAGCCCTGCACAAGGACCGGGCACCGACGACTCACTCTCGACAGACTCAGAGCCGCCACCACAACCTAAGGGTCGCAAGGTGGGCATATCGAGCAATGCTGTGGCATACGCAATTTCCACAGGTTCATGTGCGGGCCTTATCACCAGACTCCTCGGAGACATTCGAAGTCTACCTCCTAGGAAGAGGCGAAAGAAGGCTGCTGAACTTCTCGCTAAGTGTGAGACCTTGCAGGCCGAAACTGATGCTTGTTAGAGGCACCTACCGAAGGCCTTCCTTGACTCTTCGAGGGCCTCACCGTCGACACATGTGGAATATGTGCCCTGTCGCAGTTAGCTATGCTCGGCACGGAACGCCAGCCCTGTTACCCAATCAAATCCTCAACATGCTCGCATCCCAGGTGCAATGTACCCGAAGTGGGAAACTCGGTGTAGCAAGATGCATAGCCCTGCACCCGACTGTACTCCCATTGCCTGACACTCGCAGATGTCATACCCGCCCCAAACCCGGACTATATGCCCAGGTCACTCCAAACCGAAGAGCCGCGGGTGCCGTATTCGGCCCTACACAAAGCACCTGTGGGAGGACCTCGGGGTTTCTAAGTGCGAGAATGGAGATCCGTGTTGTAGAGTGGTTGCCGGGCTGCAGGAACATGATGCACGCCACGCCTGATTGCATCAGCATATACATGTGTGGTATCTTTGCCGATAGCATGTCAGATCAAAAATGGCATCGATATCCCCGAGCTCGGGTCAGGCCCGACGGCACTAGGAGGCGCACCCGAAATGAACTGGCTGCCCGCAGTGCTCGCCGCAATGCCCCTGGCAATCAAAGGGAAAGAGCCGACACTGCGGCCCCCCGTGCTCAGGAGATGAATCAGCAGCCCTGGCGACAAGCGGCCGATCGCGAGAGCCGACAGCCACACTGGCAGAATGCGCGGGGAGCCGACGCTCGGCCCCGGGATCAACATCAGGACTGGTACTACGACGAGGAGGACGAAGATGATGAGGACTACCAGTTTGACACCAGTGACCGGCACGAAGTGCATGCGACGGAGGACGAAGAGGGCTACCTCAAGATCTGGTGGCAGGGAGAATGGTGGTTCCGGCAGAAACCGCCAGACCCACCGGCATCGCCAAAGAAGAGACAGCAGGCTAGCAGCTCGAGCGAGCAAAGGAGGCCTACCATTGAGGGAGCCGTTCCCCCGGCCCCTGCCCAGCATGTCTCCGAGGGCCTCAAGCAGTTCGTCCCCCCTGCCCGAGACAGTGTGCCTCCACAATCCTTGAGAGCCGTGCGTGAGAAGTGGAACCTGCTGGCCATCATCGAAGATGACATCAATGTCCTGCGCAAAAAGAAGGTCGCCCTCATGTTCAAAACTTTCTTCGAAATGGGGCACTTCGTCAAGCATCATGACGACTTCCACCACTCGGAGTCCCTGAAGATCATCCCGGCCGCAGGCAACTGGAACCTTGCGTTTGCCATGTGCCTGATTTCCAGAGACAAGCTCCACTACGCGAACCACTCCACCTTCGGCACAGCTGTGGAATGCTGGTTATGGAGCCTGTCCAAAGATGCGGACTTCGAGCCCATCCTCACCCAGTTCGCCGGCATGCTGCACAGCGTCATCGCACTGTTTGAGGGAGTCCCCATGTCGCTGCATGAACAAATCCATTGGTTCGATAGTCATCAAGACCTGGCAATCAAATTCGACTACTACTTCCCCACCGAGCAGCTGAAGGATGATGAGCAAATTGTCCGTGTGGCAATTCAGGACCAAACCAGCCAGGACAGCAGAGATGATGACATGCCGGACAGGACCTCCAAGCACATGGGAAACACGGCTCCTGCAACCAGGACTGCCGAGCTGGCTTCGTCTGATGCCTATGTGGAGATGGAGGTTGACTACCCAACGGGGCAAACGCCACCAAATCAATCTGGCAGCATCCCCCACTCCCCGCGCAGGGTCGAGAGATATAACATCTACACGGAGACGACCTACGCCAGCAGTGATGGTACCTCTCTGCCCATGCCAGCACGCGATTCGGCCCCCCTTGGGGAGCCGACGAAGCTCTACTGGAAACTGGATCAGTCTCTCTCCAAAAGACTGTCAGTTGTTCTGAGGCACGACTCTGAAGACTTCGGCTTGACGTTCGACGAGGCAGGGTGGACCAAGGTGTCAGACCTTTTACGTACCTCCATCATGAAGGAGAAGGGGGCAACCCTCAACTACATCCGCTCGGTGGTCTACTGGAACGACAAGCAACGCTTCGCGCTCGAATGGCGAGGTGCCGATCTCTACATCAGGGCGGTTCAAGGTCACTCCAAGAAAGGAATACGTGATGAAGCGGTCATGCGGCCCCTTGGGGATGCCGAGTTGCCGGAGCACGTCCTCCACGCAACCAACTGGGACTTCTACGGCTCGATCTTGGCGAAGGGCATCATCACGGGAGGCCTCTCCCAGTCCCGGACACACATTCATTGCGTGTCAGTAGACAAAAGTGAATATCGGAATTACCCCGCGCATTGTGACATCGCAATCATAATCTCCCCGAAAGAATCGGGGGCCGTCTGGTTCCGTTCAATGAACGGCTACTATTTAACCCGGGGTGCCGATGGCAAGCTGGCCCCGCATTGTATAAAGGCCGTCAGGATCCTGGCATCGGGAGAAGAAGTTTTTGGCTCAGAGGGGCCACCGGCTGCTGACCTCGTCATGCAAGCCATCGTTCGGTCTCACTCTTTCCGGTCCTCCAGGGGAAGCCGATCTTCGGCCCCCAATGACCGTGACCACGACCGCACTGCAGCTCAGAGAGCATACACGGGGGTTGTTTTGCATCATCACACCCGTTGCACCGTCTCCTCTACCCAATGCATACACACCAACCCCTCGCCTCTGCTGCAGGACTATGATCGACGAGATGTCCCAGGTCCCGAGAGTCAGTACGCTAGGTTAAGATGGGGACACATCCTTCTGCTGGGAGTGTTTTTGGTCGGTGGGCAAGGTTATGCAGGCAGGCTTCTTTCGCTGCAAAGAGATAGACTAACTAAATGGCTCTGCACCAGGAGAATCAGAGGTTGCTACAGAAGGAGACCCTACATCCTCAGCACACATGCCACGTGCACTACTAACCTATCTACAACACAGATGGGTGGGCCCGCCAGACGCACATCACCGAGCCGCGCTGGTCCCAAGTCCAGCGGCTGGGCCCCAAGCTTTCGAAGTCTCTTCTGGATGTGGATCCTTATCCTTTGTGGAAGCTTCGTGACAGCAAATGGGGGTCGAGCAGACGTGAGGGTTACCACGGGTTCCAGTACCGTGGTGGGAGCCACACAACATCGGCCCCAACAGTCCAATAGAATGGGCGAAGACACTGGCCAGGCAATACGTAATCACCACAACAGCATCGGGTGGATCGCCAAGAGATCGCTGCGACGAGCTCGCGCACGAGCCTATGCCACAGGCGGCACTCACTATAAGGGCACATGGTACACTAGGGAAACACTGACAAAAACCACAGGGGGCATACACCAGCTGGGGCCGAATGACCGGCCGGCTAAACCCACAAAGCATCCCAAATCTGACAAAGCATCTCACCTTAGATGTCTCACCTGGAACATGAGCGGGGGGTCGCAGGCGGCCTGGCAAGAACTCATGTCATGGTTAAGTGAGAAACCAGATGACTTTGACATTGTGTTCGTGCAGGAAACACACTGGAAACAGGAGGGGTGCCGCACCTTCTCGTCCGGCCCCTGGTTCGTCGTCTCCTCAGGGGCTACAGGCAAAGACAAATGCTCAGGAGTTGCCACTCTGATCCATCAGAATATCTGCAAGCAAGATAATGTTAGCTACAGGGTTATTAGGCAAGGCAGAGTACTCTCGGTTCGACTACATCACCAACAGAACGGCTCCGATCTTCTGAATGTCTACCAGCATGTGTGGAGGACAAACATTGACAAAGCCGAGAACCTGAAAGCTCGGGCCTCAATCTGGGATGCGATACGGTCTAGCATCATGAAGAGTCCACAAAGGAACGACTTGATTATTGCGGGAGACTTCAACTGCTCCATCAAAACCTCGAGGGGATTGATAGGTAGTGCCGTGGTTGCCAAAGTAGAAGGATCGCCTGACGAAGATGACTTTCTCGGAATACTCCAGGACTTCGGCCTCACTCTCCTCAATACGTGGAACTGCACTCCGGCACATACGTGCGTGCACCAAGGCACCAAAACACAATTGGATTTCGTTGCGTGTAGGGTCCAGCACGCAACTCGCACTGCTAGACACAGCAGACCCATGCATCAAGTCGCCCTCGGAAAATGGAAGGCCAATCACCACATCCCGGTGCAGGCTCACATCCGTAGAGTCGCGCCATGTCGCCTCCCGAACCCAGTCAAACCTTCGATGGCGTCGAGGCAATGCATCCAAGACTCCATTGCACAAGCAGATGACCGGGCTAAGAAGTTAAAGCACCTCATCGATGCGGATATTCAGAAGCTGGACCCTGACTTGCATCTTCACAGCTTCACGCGGCAGGTGGATGAGATCATGAAAGAACACATGCAAACCGTCTACCCTCCAGAACCTGCAGTTGACAACCGCGTTTCGCAAAATCCGCAGTTTAAGCACACCGCGAAAGAGATGTGGGCTAAGTACAGGGAATGGAAATCCACCAAAGCGAACAGCTTAATCGAAACTCTCCGGAAATGGAAAAAGTACACTGAGTTTCGCGTAGCCTCTAAAGCGATGAAACAAACTGCTAAGAAAATTAAACGTGAAAAGCTGCAGGCTGTCGCCGAGGACCTACAAGCAGCTGCCGCTAAGGGCGATCAAAGGAAAGTGTGGATGAGCGCTAGAAAATTAGCTCCCTGGAAACCCTTCGCGCGCACACACATCCGCAGCGAAAAGGGAGAAATCCTCACTCCCAAAGAACAACTGGCTGAGCTCATTAAGCACAGCAGAAACAAGTTTTGTCAGGGAGAAGACTATTTGCCCAATCACCGAGTCACTGAACCCATTCTTGTTCAGGCCAAAGACCTCGTTTGGGCCCTAGGAAAACTACCTTTTCGCAAAGGGGTGCCGAAGTCGTCGGCCCCGGCAGCAGTTTGGAGATTGTGCCGTGACCAGGTAGCCAAAACGCTGGAACCCATCCTGATGCGATCCTGGGGGGAGGAGTCCCTCTGCGTCATCCCACACGTGTGGAAAGACACATACCTCGTATGGTTGCCTAAACCACAGAAAGACCCCAGCCGCCCGTCCGGGCTTCGTCCCATAGGACTCTCCCACCCTCTCTCGAAATCGGTATGTGCTCTGCTGAGAGAACACATCCGACCACTTCTTGAGGAAGCGCTGGTCACTCGACCGCAATTTGCTTATACTGCCGGCAGAGGGGTTCTAGACGCCTTACTGAGAGTGCATAACCACCTGAGAGAGGCACGTGCGTATGCGACCCTGAGCAAACAAAGTATATATGACCTTCATGCCGGAGCTACCCAGGTTAAATGCGCAGGAGGCATATGCTTCTCCCTTGACCTTGAGGGGGCGTTCGACAATGTACCTCGCACTGCCCTTGCCACTAGCCTGAGACGACTAGGGGTCTCCGAAACGCTGGTGCAACTACTTATGCAGTTCCATTTTGAGGCAAGGTATCACTGCTCAGTTGGCGTTCATGAGGACCACGTCACGACCACACGGGGCATCAAACAAGGCTGTACGGTCGCGCCGTATTTGTTTGTGGCACACACAATTGCTATCATTGACACACTAGCGGAGCGCCTAGGCTGGGACTGGGTAACGCAGCTGTTCACTTTTTACGCCGACGACGCCTTAGCCGCATGGACGTTAAAAAGCGCTGAAGACCTTCAGGGTGCCATTTGCGGCATCCAAAAAGTCGTGCAAACCTTTAACGACCACGGTATGACTCTCAGCGCAACCAAATCGGTCGTGCTGTGTCACGCCAAGGGAGCAGATGCCATTAGGATTTTGCAGAAACTTAAAGTCTTCAAGGACAAACTCCCACACCTTGCCTTCATGCAACACGGCGAGCAGATTCTGATCCCTCTCAGGAAAACACATCAGTACCTAGGTACCGTCATTTCCTATAGAGACGCCCAGGAGAAAACTGTTCAACTACGTATGCGTAAGGCGAGGGGTCAATATAGCCAGCTTCGTAAAGCCATCAACTCCAGACGCGTAACGCACAACCGTCCCAGGTACCAAATCTGGAGAGCCGGGGTGTGGAGCTCAGCAGCGCACGGGCTACTGGCGGTGGGCGTTAGACCCACAGGACGTAAGCATCTTCGTGCAATGGCTGCCAGACAGATGCGGGCTATTGCCAAAAAACCGGCGCATCTTACCCTAGTGACCAATGAACAGATCCAGAAGCATCTCAATGCTGAGGACCCCCTGCAGGCGCTCGCTAACCAAGGCCAGAGAATGCATGACGCACTTGAGACAGTTGCAGCAGAGTGCCCCAGCGACATTAGGGCCCTTCCACAGGTCCGGGCGCAGCTCGCGCTGGCTATCAACTCACTCCATTCGATGAATACAGGTGAGCAGCTTCCTGAAGATAAGGAGTCAGACCCTTATACCTGTCCGCATTGCAGTCAGCAATTTCGCACTATCACTAGCCTCCGACAGCATAAGGCATGGAAGCACCCAGAAGATAAGCCAGAACTGCTCAGTTTTGATCCGGCAAACCACGCACTGAAAGGTCTGCCCCAGTGTGCCTTCTGTAAATTCAAATACGGGGCATGGATTGGGCTTAAAGCACATATTGAAAAAGGATACTGCCCTGTTCTTTATCCGGAATGCAGTACTCAGGGAGCCGCGGTCGGCCCCGAAGCAGATACTAGCACCAATCCAAAAGCTCCAGAGGAGGCCACTGCAAATGAGCCGCCTCCCATAGCCCAAAAGCCGGTTCTTGATGTTGCTCGGCAACAAGGCTGGAAAAGTCTGCTAGATGCCGATGTTGTGTCGTCCCTCAAGCAACATTGCTGTGTTTGCAAGCGATGGATCGCCGATCCCACGGCTCTGAAGCGACACATAGTTAGGGCCCACAAGGACGTGTGGGCAGTCACCGCCAACGGCAAACTTGAGGAGCGATGTGCACAGGTCAAGCCCCGACTCCTCCGAAATGGCACCTGCCCGTGGTGTGACAGGTCCTCCCCCTCCAGACATTACTTCCAATGTAATGTGATCTTCCAATGTGCCCTGATAGGACTACACTGTGAACATGACGACGGAAGTGGTGAGCGTCTTCGGCAACCTACTACCAGGGCTAGCGACGAACATGAGAGAGACCTCGAAGCAGCCGAGGGAAATGGACCGGGAGACCGAGAACGCACCGAACAAGCGACCCAAAGCGGCCCGGCGAGGACAGCGGGGAGGCCGGCGACAAATTGCAGACGAGAACCTGAACTCGGTGGTGACGCTCCTGGCAAATCTGTCGCTGCAGCAGGAGGACGCCCTGAACCGTCTACGCCTGGACACATCCTTCACTTTCCACCTCCAGCAACAAGGCCCAGGAACCATATTGCTGCCGCTTTTCAAGGCGGGGCAGGAATGGCAACAAAAACAGAAGAAAGGAGAGAACGTCCCCCCGATGAGAATCGTTGCGCTGGGCCTCCTGCTGAAAGAGGTCGTGGCAAGAGTACAACTGATGGTGGGAGATCCCACGGCCGTGGAGAATGCGATGAAGCATCAGTGGCTAGACCAGCAGAAGCGCTTCGTGTATCAGGAGTGGAACTCGGCCACCAAAAAGGTGGAGCCGTCGGCGACGGCCAAGAGCCTGAAGGTGGAAGAGGCGACGGAGCTCATCAACCAGGTCGCCGAGCTGTGTCTTCCGGATCTGGTCACCAGGTTCTGCGCCCAAAGGCGTCCCAAGCAAGAGCCCCAGGAAGGCGACAAAGCAGTGTTCCTCATCGAAGTAGCCATGAGAGACCCGAGAGCAGACATCCTGCATCAGAAACTGCGACAGTTGGCCAACTGCGCGGTTTGGAATGTGGTGGGGGCGCAACTGCAGCCGCCAAACCAGCAACGCCACGGACTGGCAATGGCACTGCAAAAGGCCCTGGAAAACATCTGAGCGCTGCAGGAAGCGTACGGCCACCTGCTGGTGTGCCGAGTGTCTCTCGCCTCAAGCTTAAAAATAGTGGCAACACTTGCTACATCAACTCCGTCATAACTGCCACCCTGTGGCAAGCACAGCTCAGGCCGGGGAGCCGCATACCCGATGCTTGGCAGAAGGCACTTGCCAAAACGCACTGGGATGCAGCCATGTTTCTCCGCATGTACATGCTAGGCTGGGCGCAGCCCAACAGACAGCATGATGTGAGTGAATTCATACAGTTCATCATCCCTAAGCTTGCTTGGACTGATAGCCTCGTTCACTGGGAGGCGAGAGTTGCGGTTGAGGAGGGATGCACAACTGAAATCAGGGAGCCCGCTGCGCCATTGCTGCTTCTGGCAGCACCTGGAGGTATCCAAGACGGGGAGCTGGACACCCTCATCCTTAGCTGGCACCTGCAGGCCCAACCGCATGCGCTCTGCACAGCTCCGACTCACATTTTCCTTGTTCTACCTAGATATACCACGACCAATGGTGTCACGAGGAAGACCCGTGTGCCTCTTACATTCAACAATCGCTGTGTCCACCTGCCGATCTTCCGAAGTGAAAGCAGCATAGCGTGTGATTGGCTTGCCTATGACCTCATTTCTATCATTGTGCATCTGGGTGAATCAGTTCTCACAGGACACTACAGAACCGTTGGCTTGATACCGGGCAGGACAGAAGCCTGGTACATGGACGACGGTGTCGCATCGGAAAGGCTTGAAACCTTAAGTCCCGAAATCCAGTCCAACTGTTATGTGCTTGGCTGCATCCGCAGGCCCCCTGCTGGGGAAAGCGGATCGGCCTGACGATGAGAGCTTATTTTTCTCACAAAAGTGGGGGTGCACCCCCATCTAGGGTGCTTGGGGGGACAGGCTTGCAACCCTGTCTGAATCTTTGTCTCTGTTCCTATGTACAGGGAAGGCACATGTGAAGCCGACCTTTCGGCCACAGAGCCATGATACCGGCACTTCATGTCCGGGTCGCCCTGATAAGGAGTCTTGAGTGATGAGAAAATGAGATAGCTACACTCTCCCTGAGTGTTTTTGTGCTCTTCCTCTTCAGTGTACCGAGTCCTATTCTCAACCATGTCACCATATGCAGTCATGCGTTGCTCCATCAGCACAGGGGTGCCGCACCTTCATCGGCCCCAGGACATCTGCGGCACTAGTGTGCCCACACTGTTTAGCCCTGTGAGTGAGCGAACTGTGAGACCGGCCGTAGAATAGTATCCCTTGTACATACACCGTCCTTTTGAGTTTGCGAGCACGTGTTTCTTTCCTGTTCACGGTAGGTCCAGGTAGGCTCTGTTGCGCTTGAGACCGTTTTGCCTGCAGTCTAGTTGAACTCCGGTTCCTGCGGGACGTCTCTTGCTGTCCATACCCGAAGCTGTTAGCCGCCGCCACAGAGCGGCCGTGACACATGTCATGAACTACAGCTAGCTAGTAGGTCAGACCAGACCGCTGCGGAATCGAGTTCGAGTGAAACCCAAAGAGAGAAAGAGAGAAAGAGAGAAAGAGAGAAAGAGAGAAAAAGAGAAAGAGAGAAAGAGAGAAAGAGAGAAAGAGAGAAAGAGAGAAAGAGAGAAAGAGAGAAAGAGAGAAAGAGAGAAAGAGAGAAAGAGAGAAAAGAGAGAAAGAGAGAAAGAGAGAAAGAGAGAAAGAGAGAAAGAGAGAAAGAGAGAAAGAGAGAAAGAGAGAAAGAGAGAAAGAGAGAAAGAGAGAAAGAGAGAAAGAGAGAAAGAGAGAAAGAGAGAAAGAGATAAAGAGAGAAAGAGAGAAAGAGAGAAAGAGAGAAAGAGAGAAAGAGAGAAAGAGAGAAAGAGAGAAAGAGAGAGAGAGAGAGAGAAAGAGAGAAAGAGAGAAAGAGATAAAGAGATAAAGAGAGAAAGAGAGAGAGAGAGAGAGAGAAAGAGAGAAAGACAGGAAGAAGGAAAGAGAGACAGAGAGATAGTAGATGAAGAGAGATGACGGGGGAAATGGGGGATGGGTAATGGGGAAGATATTTATTTTTTTGCTTGAGGTCGCGATAAAGTGCGTGAATGCTCATGTCACTGTGGAGGAGCTGGAGACAAAATTATGGAGGATATTTGATCCTAAGAAGGTAGTAGAAGGGATCGGAAAAATGGAGTTGCTTCTCCAAAATAGCCCAAATCGAAAATTTGATCCTAAGAAGGTGGTAGAAGGGACCGGAAAAACGGAGTTGCTTCTCCAAAGCAGCCCAAGTCGAAAATTTGATCCTAAGAAGATGGTAGAAGCGAGTGCCCTTTGCCATGCTTCTGTTTCTGCAAGGACTGCTGCACCCTTGCCTTATCATGGACGCTCATAGAAATTCGATCAATCGGAAAATGATTTTTCTGAGGTTTTTTATGAATATCGAATGATGATCGTGAAACCTCAGGATTCGATTTAAGAAAATATCAGAGAAAGAGAACCATATTCCGATTGGTCGAAATGCTGTGAATGTCCATGATTCAAAGGAAGGCGGAAACATGATTTTGGAGGATGGATTTGGGAGGGAGGGACTAGGGTATTTTTTGCGTGCTGCGTTTTTGTTGTTCTTGTTGGCGTGGGGGGGGGGGGAGTAGGGCGAGGTCGGATATTCTTTCGTCGTCTGTTCATGTACGCGATTGTTTTTCTTACGATTTATAATTTGAATGCGGCAGCATTTGCTGCTCAAGCTGACGTTAGCCCGCTCCGCCCGCTTCGCGGGGATCTCGTGTTTGCTTTGTGTTCGTTTCGTGATGTGTTTGGGAGGACTAGGAGGGAAAGGCGGGCGGGGTGTGGGATAGATTGGAAAATTAAACCCGAGGCCAAGCACCAGCATGCCGAAGGCCAAAATCTTTGGGGGTGCGTGTTTGGACGTGTATGCGCGTGGGTGTTTGGGAGGTGTGGACTGACGCGCAGTGGGCCAAGTACCAGTGCCCTAACGTTATGGTCTGAGAGGCTTGGGAGATGGGTTGGTGATGTGGGTGGGAAGGCAGAAATGGGGACGAGATGAGATGTGGTTGTACTCGTTCGCTGAGTTCGCAACGTGCTTCTCGTACAAGACGAAGCTCAAGGATTCGCTCTGCTTCGACTGCGCGGGGATCCTAATTGTTTCTTGGGCTGTTCGTTGTGTGCTGCTTTTTTTTGGTGTGGAAACGTCAGTGAGTGCAACAAGGTTCCG